AATTTTAAGATGGCTTAAATTTGGAGTCACATAAAGAATAAAAATGAAAAATAGCTTTGTTTCAATCAAGAAAAATTAATCTTTTCCTTTTGTACATAGTCTAATTAAGACATTCTATCAAACTATCCCAATAGCGCTTCTATTTGACATTTTGTAATGTAAAACTTTCAAGTATTGATAAAATTTCTCTCTTACCAGTAAAGTTGTTCTCTTGGAGATTTTAAAGCTACTAACATTTAATTCCTGTGTAAAAACATAATTCCTAAAATAAAAATAATAATTCCTTTATGGATAAAAGTCACACAAAGTGTCTTCAGGGATCTTTAGGACTAACAGGCTGGAGATTGCATTTTCACATTTCAACCACAATTCAATGCTTTTCATTTGACCAAAGTAAAAGGGCTAAGAAACACACCAAGAGTTTTTTATGAAAAGGTGTTACACATTTAAAAGGGAAGTTACGTGTGTTTTAAAACACAACAGTAAATCGTCAGTAAGGTTATTAGAACTTAACCCCAGTGTTACATCCCTAATAGGATATGGGACTTATCCACGATCAGTATGTTTTTCAGAATAAAAGTCCATTTATGAGAAGACTGCGGCCCCACAAAGACATTTGAAGATATTTAGTAATAGTTTGAAACTTGAAACCGAGCATTTGAAGATTGTTAGGCAGCTTTCCGTTCAAGACCTGAATGTTAGTAGTGATAGTCATCGTAGATTGTAGGGAGGAACTGAGATGTTTCAGGAAATCTGAAAATAGCTCACTTACAATGGCTGAATTTTCATTTCCGTGAGCGCAGAGACTGTGTTCTCACTGCTGGATCCCCAGTGCCCCCTGACTGGGGCAGATTAGGCCCTCCAGAACTATACTCGAGAAAAAGATGAGGCCAGAGATAGAAGTTGTGCAGTCATGAGATGAGGACACTGAGAAAGTTTTTATTTTAAACAAAGAGTACTTAAAAAGGCACATTTTAGGGTGAATTCCTAGACTTTCAATCTAAGATAACACGTTGTAAATTCAAAGGAAGAAACTTTAGCATTGTGGGGCTTTTCTGATTCATGTGAATTTATTTATTTTCTGTCAAAGTGAGCACAGAGACCAAGTTTGATTAAGAAGCCTCAGCAAAGGAGTTTTCTGACAGAATAGTTTTTCACAGTGAGCAAATCCAGCCCGTTTACACAGGCCAACTCCAGTTTACAGAAGCTAGTCTAATTAATGCAGTTCATCTGTATCCATGTAGGTTAGCGCTTTGGGAATTAATGAATGGAGTCGGGGCTGGCGGTCAGGGGACACAGGAACACATAGACTGTGTCTCTCTTTGCTTTCTGAACTGTGGCTTTTTTATTTTCCTTTCTCTCTGTGCCCTTCCCTTCCCTCTGCCCCTCCCTTGTAGGTTGGGCCGCTGCTGGTAAGGCCCTGACCACCCTCACTGTCATCACAGGGCCCAGGTTTGTGGTGACAAAATGCTTTCAATGACCCACACTTTGTGTGACTTTTTCTTCTTTATGTAGAGGGGTGTCTTCAGAGGGAAGCTTTACACTCCTTGTCTGCTTACTATTGTTACTAGCTCGGAAGTTTTTGTGAAACACGAGAAATGTTATGAGCTTGTTTCAGAGGTTGGGGGGTGGGCAGCTGTAGTCTGCTTCTGGGTCTCCATCCAAAACTATGGAAACTGAGGAGCTGAGGTGCCCGTGCTTCTACTCCTCAGGCAGAAGTAGAAGGAAGATACTTTTTGGGTATTCTAATTTCAACCAAATCATCTCCTTACAGAAATTATTATCAACCGAAAGTAGGATCTATTATATTTTTAGCAAGCTCTGTTTTATTAATCTTTATTAAATTTTATGTTATCAAATTGACTTTTGGATTTGGCTTCAGATAAAACACACTGGGGATGATGTATCAGTGAAGGCACTCATTCAGTTTTGTGTTATATTGCCCGACCATTCATTAGTCTCCGAACACATAGATTCTCACATATGGATAAACACCATTAAACTGGAGTGGAATGAACTCTTGGCTCACAGCTCAAGTGAGCAGAACCTTCTTTTTCTTTTTTCTGACTAGGTGATGTTTTAACTGTCTTTGTAGTGCATCTGCTTCTTTTCCCACTTACTGCCCACACTCCATTTGTGGTAGAGTGACAATATATGCTGTTTAATTGCATAGCTGCTTTCTCCTGGGTGAGGCTGTGGAAAGAAAAGGGGGATTAAGTTGCATATGGCTAGCGCAGTAGTTATTGAACGATGCTCTGACTGATGCCTGATGCCTGAGAAGGATTTTCTTTGGATTCTGATCAATGGAGTGCTGGACACCTAGGACAGCAAATGTCCATTTTCTCTTCTGTCTTTAAAATGAAGTATGTCCTCTCTGAAGGGCAGTCTATGCTGGCTCTCAAGTTTAAATGTAAACAACAGTGTGTTCCTTACTTTGAAGGCAGACACAGCTAATTATTCCATTGATAGCCAAGATGCTTTGAGGAAGGAAGCAGCTTTTGTTACAAGTTCAAAATTCAGCCAGCATTGTATCTCTGCTGGACGCTTGATGGGAAGACTCCTTTATGCGGTGCATGCATCATTTAAATGGCCGGGAGCTCCTGGGAGTGGAACCTGGTGCCCTGTCTGTGCAGAGGTCAGCAGGTGAGTTGTGCACTGCTCTGTTTCCTCAGAAAAATGACAGTGATTTTTTTTTCAATAAATAGAAATCATAGGAAAGTTTGAGCTACACAAATATACAAGAAGGAATGATTATAGAATCATTTCTCATGGCTATTTAATAAGCTGTAGAGAGACGGCGTTATCGCTGAGTAGGAATGTCTAATCTGCCTGGCACTCCAAAAAGGATTGTCTGTTGTTATCTATCTCATGTGGGAGCAATATGTTCTATGATTGGGGAAAAGCTAAGTGAAAAATCACATACTAAAAAAAGACTTGTGATCAGTTTATTTTATGCAAAAATCTTCATACTAGTCTGAGATTTCCTGTTCTGTGATTTCAGTAGTAGAGCCCAAGATGGGGCGTTTTGAGTGGGTTCCTCCTCCCAAGGAGGACCGATTTAAGAGCGCTGCACCCCTTCCCTCCTGCCGTGGCAAACTGTCCTTGAAGGCTGTCTGGAACAAGTCATTTGCCTTCTAGTGGTGTCAACTGTAAGAACAGTGACTTTTCTTTTCTGTGTTCCGTCTAAAGATATTAGAAAATAAAAGCAAAGTAGTGCAATTGTTGTTACTGGTAATCATGGTGCTTTGTGAGGTTTATATGTCAGTCAAATTAACATCTAATATCTGATTCATTAGCTATTCTTCATAAGACAAAGTGACAAAAAGAGATATCATGCTTTTTTTGTAGAAAAGTTGAGGGAATCTTGGGGACTAAGAAAAAGAACTTCCTTTTAAGTTATTAGATTGAAGCTTTTAAAAAGTGTAATTTTCCTGGCATTAAGAAAGAGAATAATAAAATTATCTTGTAGGAGCTCACAAGTAGGTTTGTTGAACTCATTAAAGGCTAATGAAATAAACAAACGTTATTTCTGACCACAGGAACTCCTCACTTCTCTAGCGGTGCTTGTGATTTTTCACCTTACTTTTGCGAAATCTACAGAGGGCAAAAGATACTGCGCCATAGTATAAAGAGTTTCTAAAGGGGCCATGGGAAACGCGTTGTCCCAGAAGCAGCCCCAGAGTCACCCGCACTGTCAGGGAAGCTGCCGGCTGGCCCTCTCAGAGCAGGTCGCCTGGGGCCAGAGGGCCAGAGGGCCTGGGCGCAGCACTGCGCAGTCAGTCTGTCTCTGGAGGAGGAACCCACTCAAAACGCCCCATTCCAGGCTCTACTACTCAAATCAGCAAACAAGAAATCTCAGACCAGTATGATTACTTTTAAAGAAAATAAACAGGTCACAAGGCCTTTTTTAGTGTAGCAGCCTCATTTTGTTGGGGCGCATGTTGTTAAGTTAAAAGGGCATACACAAATCAAGAAAGACTTGCTTGGTTGTAAACAGAGTATTCAGAAGACAAGAGAATGCCAGATGGTGTTAGGAACACAATGTGCTCCAGACTTGCTGCTTTCCCTGAACCACTTTTATTCCTAATAACTGGTTTGACACCCTCACAGCTGATTATCTTGAAGTACCTCAGAGGAGAAAAGTTTCAAATTAAGTTATATCAAGTGCCAGGTGATGACTCAACCTGGTTCAGGAGGTATGTGAATCCTCCCCAAACCCACATTCTCTTTTCCCAGGAAGCCTGTATGTCTTTGTGTGTTACTTTGTAAATATGTACAAGGTTTTCCAGGTGAAGGACTTGATAAGAAGCTGATTTGTCTAGTTTAGATGAATTCTCAGCTATTCAAATCAGAGAGAGTTTTGCTCCCCATGCATGAGAAACTAAGTGCTGGCTGGACGTTAAGGGACCCCTGCACCGTCATGGCGCCAGCACAGTGCCGGCCCTCGCCCTGCGATCCTTCTCTCCAGAATCAGGCTAAGTGCTGCGTTCTTCTTGAGTTAACAAGTTGCATCCTCTGTCTTCTTTTATTTCATCTCCCTATTGGATACATATACAGGAACATCCAGAAACATTAATCCTTCTTTACTTCATCACTTTCCTTAATGTTAATTTGATGTTCAACAAAAGCCTTTGGTCATTCATACTGAGGACCTATGTGCTGCTTAGAGAGATGGAGAGTGGTTGTAGGAGTTAGCAGCCTGCCGCCTCCCTTTCTCTGCTTCTGCCCTCCACTCCCTCTTTTGAGGGCTCTCTCTTTCTTCCGGGATACCCTGGGCGGAGCCCAGATGATGATGAGCGCTCACTGACAGCTCCTAATGCAGCTTCACGTGGCTCTTGTAAACGACCGTGAGGACCGGGCTGCTCCCTGCCCTTCCCAGAGGCGCTCGCCCCTGTCTTGTTCTGGGAGCGGCAAGTAACTCCAGCTGTGCTCATCTCCCCACACGGCAGCGTTGACTCCTCTCTTTAAATGAAACTCGGAGAGGGAAGGGCTGAGAGATTTAAAAGGCAGGAATTAACGTCCTGTGCTGCAGCAGAGCAGCCGTAGCAATAGCAACAGCAACAGCGGCAGCCTCGGCAGCGAGTCGTTCAGAGAGACTGCACCATTTTCCTCTCACCCTGCAGAGGTGTGGCTGGAAACGGCAGTGCACTACCCACCCCCCAGCAGCTCCTCAGAGGTGGCCTCTTCCTGGCTCCAGTCGGAAGACACAGGCTGTCTGGAGGAGTCCCCAAAGACTATTCCAGTCCTTGATGTGTGGCTAACGAAGGCTTTTTCAACTAATAGGATGCTTATCTGCACTTGTGGCCACCCAACTGCTGAAGAGCTTCAAGTCTAGTGCTCCGCCTTCCCGTGGGGCCCTTTCCGAGGGTGGGTGCGCACCTCTGCCCGCGTGCGCGCAGGTGCGAGCAGCTGGGGGCCTGCCCTGGGGCCTTGGCACTCTGTGCTCAATTACGGGTGCCGCAGTAAGATTATGACCCAGCTCGGGGGCGGAGGAGATCATTTTGTAAGTGCTCTGGCTGCCAGCCATTGCCCTGGTGGGGGAAATCCCATCTCCATCTAGCTCTAAAATCACCTGGGTTACTGGGGACTGGAAACTGAACTGCAGCAACTACTTCTGCTGATTTCCTTTGCAAAATGGCTCACGCTGCAGCTTCTATTAAAAAAGTTCGAGAAGCTGAACTGGATGAAAAGGAAAAAAATCTTGAGAGAGAGAGAAAAAAACAACGGAAAATCCCCAGGGAACGGATGGAGCGGAAAAGAAAGGTATGGGGAGCCTCCTTTTAACCCTTTTCCCCTGTGGCTCTGTGTCGACCCATCAGCCTCAGAACAGGCAACTTCATCCTCCCTTCCATCATTCCCCTGCACCATTTGCAAGCTCGGTATGCAGCCTATATAGCTCATGCCTAAATTTGCTGCATTGGGAGGAGATGTCAGAGCAGGGCAATTTTCTTTGCTTTAACCAAGCAAAGCAAAAATACCTCCGCTTCATTTTTCTCTGTTCTTCTCAATTACAGTTATTCAGTCTCAAAGCCAGGTGCTTTATTCCTCCAAGTGCCTCTGAACACTTGTTATAGAAGAAGGAAGGGGTTGATTTATGGTTGGAGGGTTAAAGTATTTTCCTGGTCTTGTTCCTTATCTCTACTACTAGACCTTTATTTAGCACCAAGCCTTCTCACTGACTCTATAATCTGATGTGGATTTCTGGTTAAGAGTAAACCACAGGTTTTATTTACTCTTTTTTTTTTTTTCTTTTGCCTTCTGAAGGTTGTCACTGTTCTATGTGAAACAGCACAAAGATACTGGTGCAGTGAGCTGTGTCTCTGCATCTTTAAAATTTTAATTGTAATTACTTAATTTTTTGGTTTCCATCATTAATCTTACAATGCTGCTTCTCTGACTATAGCAATTAAATGAAATGACCAAGGTTAAATAATGGGATACAACCTTGGGTCCCATTCTTTTAAACTATAAAATTGTCTCTCTTTCTATCTTTTAAAATATATTTTTTCTTTAAAGTCAAAATAATCCTACAATTTGGTGAAACTGAAATATTCATTTAGCCAGTGAGTTGTCCGTAAGGAAAGATCTTTGTAAATGCTTTAATTAACAAAGTAGGTCACTGAATAATTTCAGAAGATGATAAATGGCATATTACATTTAACAGTGCATAAAAAAAATAGTGGTTTGTATACAAGCTGTTGTTGAACATAGCTCTGGGATTAGGGATGCGCTGGGGATCCATATGCTTAATAATCCACATGCTCAATGACTTTTTTTTCCTTCAATAATAGATATGTTTACCTTTTCACTTGGGGGACGTTATCTTTGCCTCATTTTTGTAAAGACACTTGAGTACCCACATGAAGTTGAGATCTTACTGCGCAGGGATTCATTATATTTCAATTTTACTACTTATTCACTGCTAGTTAGATCAAATGACTGTTATCAGGCAACACAAATAAATGAAAGTAGCAGTATATTATAATTTCCCTTTTAGGGAAAACTTTAAATCTGCTTGTCTGATCTTTCAAAGGCCTTGTTTCAAGGATTCATTAATTCTTTTTTATAATATTAAAAGTATCATTGGCCTCTTTTGTGGGAGTTGGCTTCCTCCTTGACAGCTTCTGCAGTTGTTTTTGATTATCTAAGTGGAAACTTTACTGCATAAAGCATTTCCTCCTGTGATTATATCTTTTTTATTCCTTGTTCTCCCAAACACAGTGTATTATTTCTTCGCCAGGAGTACTTATTCAGCATTCAGTTGTGACCTCGTGACTTTCTTAGCTAGAATACCATGCATACACCTGAAAAATCTTTTGGCCTCACTCTGGTTTGTTTCTGTATCTAGTTTGATTGCTTTCCCTGTTTTTCTGTAATTCATCGAAATTGAAAAACTACATGATTAAAATAGGAAAGTGCCAACAGATATTAAGAACTTCAGTTGCTTGGATGCCACATCACTTTAGCTAGAATCCACACGGTGGGCAAAATCATCAGGTAATAATGTAGTCATATGGTGGGTCATCTGATCTTCACATTTAGATAATATTAAACCAGACTAGGAGAAATAGAGATAATAAGGCATAGCTACTATTTGTTCTTCTTTTAAATACATACCGATTGATCTTGTTCCCTTTCCTACTTCAGACGTGTGTGACATTACATAGTTATTTATGCAGCACAACAAATACTAAAAGAGTGGCTGGTTTTTCACCTGCATCAGATTTATTTTCTAAATACATTTACCACCATCACCACCACTCCCCACTACCCCCTCCAACCACCACCACACACACACACACAGCCACTTGAGCCAATTGTAAAATTTGGTTTGAGAGAAGAAAATTTTGCCTCATTATTATTCCTTAAGGATATAGGATAGTAAGTAGTTCATAAAGAAATGAAAAAAGATGGTAGCCTATTAGTGGCCCTCTGGAATGTCATCTCCAGAAAGTAATCTGGAAATTATTGTACTTTATTTGCTGATGCCGTTTTATAACTATAAAGTAATACGTCCATTTGTTGTAGAGATGACAGACTGTATGGTTTACAAATCCATTTGTACAGTGTCTTGCAAATGAAGCTGTCTGTTTACAGAATTCAGAGATCTGCCCCAATGCAGATACCAACCAACTACGGAGTTTGAACAAATATGGAAGCTGATTTTGAAAAGATTTTATTGAAGTAAAAATTATTGGCAGCCTCATATTTGTTTTTTATTTTAATGTTTTTTTGTAAACTTGCTGTTAATCAGAAGTATCTTTGCATTATTATTTTATAATGCATACACTTTAAATAAAATTAAATTATTTGTAAGCTTGAAACACATTGCATGCTTGGCTATAAGTCCTGTACCAGGTTGTCAGTGGTGTAGCTTTTTAAAATGGCTCTATTTGCATACTAGAGGACCTAATTTCAACTTCATTAGAAGCAGAATTTATCTTAGAATAAAAATGTTCAGGTTTTTTTTATCTATAATCTGCATTGGTAATATTTAAATACAGTATGTACCAAGTGTATATTGTATATGTTTCATACTGTGGTAGAGCTAGAATAAAACTAAGGTTTAAGCAAAGGGACCATAATTAAGATTAGCCAAAACAGACTGATTTAACATTTATTTACTCGAGTACATTGATATTCTAGCTTTTCTCAGGGATAAGAGGATATTCTTGTTCTAATTATTAGCTTACTTTAACTCAAGTCATTTCTTTATATGTCCAGTTTTTAACATTAATATCTGAGAATTTTAGACTTGAGAAAGATGCCAAAAGTAATGATTTCTCACAAACTTGTAAGACTTAGTTCTAGAAAGAGATTTCGAGTATAATACTCTTTCCACAACCACATATTATTTCTCAACTGTACTTTTTTTAATTTGGAAAAGTAACAAAGAATCAGCAAAAAACCCCCAAAACAATCCCATCCTTGAAAGTATGCATCTATTTAAGTGATCTTCCTCATTTAAAGTTGCGATTACCAGTTATTTTCAGATAAATAGGTATGTTCTCCATTTCTAGCCTGAACAAATTGTTCTCCAACACATCATGTCTACAACACTCATTGGAATTATATGATGTAATAGGCAATTTATAACATTAGTTCTTAGCATCATAATGCCTAAGAAATTCTTATTATTGTTTTAATTTGTACTATTAAAAATGCCAGGGTTCATACTTCCTGTAAAAGAAAAATTTATGATAAATAATATTTATTGAGTACCAATGTGGCCCATATCTGGCACTTTATACATGTTGTACTCTTTATTCTGAATGACGGTCCTATACATTAGGTATTCTCTCCATAAACAAGGAAACAGAGACTCAGAGTTATGGAACTCAATCATATATGTAACTAATATGTGGCAGGGCTTGGATTTGAATCCAGGCTTCAGCTTTCATTGAGGGAAAAAAAAAGGGTAATAGGATTTCTTGGTCTTGAATTTACACTGAATGTAGAGCTTAAGCAAATTGTTTAATCTGCCAGGGTGACAGTATCTTCACCTCTGAAATACCTTCCTAAAATTGAAAGAAACTTAGTTACTATGAGACTAAATAACATATTTGAGAGGGAACTATATAAGTTTAAGGTTAATACTGTCATTGTACTTAAATATTTCATTAGATTTCTTGGAAAATCAACTATCAGAAATCAACATTTGTTCCTTTAGTATAGCAATTGCTGTCAATGATAAACTGAAAAATCTTCATTCTTTCTTACAATTTTATTAGGAATTAAAAATGTATTTGCCTATTTACATTTATTAAACTGACACCAAAAAGTGACTTTTGCATGGGATTAAGTAGAAAATAAAAGCAAACTTTTTTCCAAGTTGTTTTCATTGAATTTTATAGAAAAGGGTTCGATCAGTTCTTCGCTTTTGCTTTTTATTTACATAATTATTATCTTGGAGGGAACAAGAGTTTTTATTTCTAGGATAACCTTTGAGGGACTCCCCCCACCATATTCTCCTTGTCCACATGGTTATTAAGTTGATGACAGTGAGAATACTTATAGAGTGTATATCATGGAATTACCACCAAGTTGCAAGGGGACATAAGGAGATGACTTTTAAAAGTTATTATAGTGTATTTTGTTAAAATGGAAGAACATTTATTTGCAAGTGTGGGGAGGAATGTATTCTGTAGCTTTTGCATTGTGTTATAAGAATGAGTTGTAAATAAACATCAAATATAATGGCTGGCTATGCCTGCCTCCCCTGGTGTTCTGTGGGTGACCGTGTTATGTAGAAGAGTGGACAGGCCAGTCGTCCCTCCTGCCCTTGAGTCTCATGCTTAGGCACTCAGCAGCCTTATTTCAAAGGGAAGCCCAACTCTGAGAACAGCAACATTTAGCCAAGAGCACAAAGATTTCTAGGCATCAAACCAAATACAATGTGATTAAAACTACAAATCATAACAGAATAGTATGGTTCAATATAATGCATTCTGGTACTCTTCAAATATGGAAAATTTCAATAACATTTTTTAAGACTTATATCACATTGTCTTTATATATCTTCCTATGAACCATTCATCAGTAAGTCAGTACTTCCAGAAACCGCACTAAGGATAGGGTAGATGGCTGATGTGATGAGCTTTATATGGATGGTTGCTCTTATGTCCTACTGTCCACTTATGAGTGAAAACTTGAAAGTTTTGTTGATTTTCTTTCCCTTTTGCGTCTACGTAAATATATCTAGGCAAATCTATGTACATGTGGAGGCTTCTATTTTTTTAAATCCATTTTCTTCCTCTTTAACA